TTCCTCACATGCCGGCCCTGTGCCTTCACGGCAAATCCATCTGGCACGGCAGATCTGGGGGAACTGGGTTGACCTGTGAAACCAAACATTTGACGTCGATCTTCTCGTATAACAGCCATGAATGTTCTAGCAGAAAATGCAGATCGGCACCTGTGGAAGCAAGCCATGTCATGCCATGCCATCCACAAGGCAGTCTGCCTGCTCCATGATCAGCAGGCTTCCAAGATAGACGAAGCACGCCCGCCGGACCTCGCTTGACCTTCCAGACCTGTCGATCTGGTCCCCAGAGTCCGAAAAACAACAACAGTCAAGCCACTCGTGCCGGGAACCGTCCAGCCATCCATGCCTCACTATCTGACCTTGTCCAGGACCCAAACGGACGATGGCTACGTGCCGAGCAGACTTCCGAGTCGGGGATCTGCCATCTTACCCTCCCAGGGCCTGCCAGCACGTCCCACTGCATAAAGCCCATGGCCTGGGACCTCTGCTGACAGAGGTCATCCGTGCAACGGGTTGATTGCACGTTAAACGGGCCACCGTATCGAGGAGCGGCGTCCTCCGCAAAAGGCACTAACATCGAGGTGTTCCTCGGTCCCACCCCACAGGCTTTTGAGGGGGTGATATCTCGAAATCTGCAGGGTTCTGGCGAGAGCTCCCCGCCGACGCGGAACGACAAAAGAGTGTCCTTCATCCACCACCCTGGTAATACCATGGTAGTCCCTGAGACCATGGGCGAGATGAACAATCTCAGGTGCCTCGAGATCCCATCTCGGATGGTCTCGTAGCGGCGTCGCAATGCTACAGCCACAACGCAGAAATGCTCAAGCCATGTCCGTCGTCGTATGGTCCGCATCTGCTTCCAAAATGGGACGCCAACATCTCCGCCTGTCACCCCCATTCTTCTTTCTCTGCCTCCCAAGCCTGACACCTCCGAGGTCCGACTTGGCCAGAACATACTCCCCCTCCTTCCCATCCCTGAGCTCGTGGCACACGTGCCATCGGTTCGTCGATACCAAATAAGCAACCGCCTCGCACGAAAGGCATCACCGACAAGCCCAGATACCAGTGACAAGAATGTTAAAAGCGGTGAACCAAATTGCGCACAAAATTTCAGAGAGGGGGCGTCCCTCAAGAGCTTCCCTGCCCCAGTCCGGACCCCTCTCCGCACTGCCTAATCCATCGCCCAAAGCTCTTCACTTCCGTGCCACGTCCCGATACTGCTCTGCCGTTATCGCGCCACAGGCAAGGAAGGTTGGTCGTCGCTGATAAAGACTGGTAAAGACGCCCTCCTCCGCGCCCAGAACATCATGAGTGGGCTTAGCTGATGTCACAAAAGAGGGCGCGTGCGGCCCAGTCTCGTCCTGCGCGTGCAGCCTATAGTTTGTGTCATGGGCTTGCCTTGCTCGCTTTCGGCGGCACGGGACAGTCCAAGAAGGCTGCCTCACGTGTGTGACGTGCCAACCAAGCCCATAGTTGTTGGTACCTAACAATATCGGGGCGGCTTGTGGTTCCTCTGTTGGTAGGCAAGACCGAGATGGTTGTGACATTGTGCTCGACGAGTCACAGCGCTCGTGGTCCGTTGTCTTCTTGAGAGGCGGGGAGAAGTGACTTTGTGTCGGGCCCATTGTCGCCAGCCACACATCTCACACCATGAACGCTCTGCACCCTGAGGGACCAAAGGTCACAGGACGTAGACCACGGCGCAGCGGGGCCGGTCCCCCGCCTCTCATCGGCCTGCGCCCAGACTCTTGGTGGCGGACCACCACTCACGGAGTGGCCTTGTGTGTCACGGCTTTGAGATGCCAACTCTTCGGGGGCGCTGCACCGTCCGTGTTCGTTTGTTTCGGTCGCCCTTTTCATCTGAAAGCGCAGTCGGATCCTGAGAGGCGTAGGTGTGATTATCTGTCGTGGAAAGCAGCCCGATTGATGTCCATTCGCCACCGCCGAGATTCCGGAGCATGGCCTCGTACGCGTCGGCCCGCACAAGCGACGCACCTTCCACAAGCTGACTGATGATGGATGCGTGAGACGCCACTGTGTCCTGGCTGTCATCGGCGTCTCCGGCGAAGGCCACAAAGTTGCGTTTTCCGCGACAGCTGCCTTCAATGACTTCGATCCCTTCTTCGGTCAACTGCCCGTCTGCCCAGATTGCGGATTTGCAGACTTCTTCAACGGTTTCAGCGATGTGCTGGGGCGAATAAGCTGGTGGTGGCGATGTGTTCACCACCGCCGGTTGAGCGTGTCTGATGGCTGACTGCCTCGAAACGGGAGAGTTTTCCTCAAACTCAAACTCGGCTCGATGCGTCCGCTGGTGATCCTTGGCCCATGCCCTCATGACAGCATCATGTGCGAATCGAGTGCCAGAACAACAATCACCAAAGAGCCCTTTGATGGTGACATTATTCTTGTTCCAGGTCATTGGATCGACGGTGCAGGGCCAAACATCTCTGGGCTTAAATGTCGTTACCAGATGACGCAGCTCTGGCAAAGGCGAGTGACGGGAGTAGGGGAACCGAATCATTTTGGGCAGTCCGTTTTCTGCACCATTCAACATGGCATCTCCTTCGTCCGGGCGATGCGCGCGCTTCTCTCCGATCAAGGCCATCACCTCCGCGACATTTGCTTCTTTCTTGTCCCCGAAACAGCTCATGTCAAGGTCCAAGGGAACGTTGCGTCCGCTGAATGGCCTTTTCAATAGCAAATCCCGAACTGCTGTCTTGGTCGGTTCGGAAACAATACGATTTTCGCCCAGCATTTGGAGAAGATGATTCAAATCCGTAGGCGACACAAGGTCAAGCTCAACTTCGCGTTCGAGGTCGTCTGCTCCGCCTCCGATGCCGTGTTCGAGACGGTCAGTGCCGCCAGTCGTATGGGCAATGATGGGCTGGATCCATACGACTGGCCCCTTTTCGACAACCGAACAATAATTTCCCTTTTCGCAGCTGTGTAAACGTACGTTCTCATCAGTCGCGAGACATCCAGGTCGATAGGCGTTGCCAAACATGTAGCCCGTCAAAGCTGGCGACTCGCGGCACAGATGAAGAGACTGGCCAAAGCGATCATTCTCCGGCTTCGCCTGCAGGGAGCTGAAGATCTTCATCTTGTAATCGTCGACGTGCACACGTGATTTCAGCGCCTTGGATAGCGCGATCCATACTTCCTCATAACCATACGTCCAGGCCTGAAAATGAAAGATGGTATCAGGTGGATACCGTGAGACTTTTCCTAGAAGTTCCGCTATGCCCTCAGCCTTGGTTTGGAAGTGGACGTCGTCGATGAAAGAAGTGTCCAGGTAGATTTTGTCGAGCGTCTTGCTGCCGTGGGTGTACTCGATCAAAGCAGGATTTCGAGCGACCGAGTTTACGTGCCATGGCTCACTTCGAATGTCGCCGGTGTAAAGAACAGCCCTCCCATCGCCCTCTATCAAAAACATGACGGCTCCAGGACAGTGATTTGCGTCGATAAGCGTCACCTGAATGCAAAGACCGGGAGCAAGTTCAATCTCCGTGGGTGTGTCCAAGGGAATAGGCTTCAACAGGCCTTTCAACCCCTTAAAGGTCTGTACTCGAGCTTCCAAAATACCCTTGGCAAAGTTGATGCGGCAGGGATATCGTTCCAGACGGAGTAGAATCTCTCTCGTGGCAGCCGAGCAATAGACAAAGGGAGAGCGCAGGCTCTCGAGCCCCGCTAGGTGATCGCTGTGGACATGACTCAAAAAGCATGCGAGCGGCGGAGGCTGGTCGATAGAGCGACGGAAGAAATCCACTGGTGGTAGTCAGCGTTAATCCACGCAGTTGATAGAGGTGACATAAACTCGGTGGTTTGGACGAACCTCGAATGTCTGGGAACTCTCTGACGATTCCGTCAAAAGTCGACATGCTCAGAAGGGAGCTTTGTCAAACCAAGAGTCTCTCAGGCTTCACCTGTGGGAACCATAAGCGAGATAGACTCGGAAAGGGGAAGAACGCGCGTAGATGAACAGGTGATCGAAGTTGTGTAGTTCGACAGCAAGTCGAAGTGGCCACTGCCGGACAAAGCAGGGTGTCTCGAGCATCAAGTAGAAGCCTGGAAGTCGAGGCAGATCACCTGGACCTTGATCTTAGCAGGTAGGAATGCAGAGATTGCGCTCGTATGCATTGTGTTCGAGGGTTGTTCGAGGCTGACGTGGGCATAGATTGAGATTGAAGTCAATGGGATGAGGTTGTGACAAAAGACACGATGCGTACTGTGCGTTTACAGTGCGTGCGCTGCTGCCTATTGGTGTCTTACAGTAAGTACTCCAGATGAGCGTGGCAAATGAAAGTCGAGCACTCCAGATAGACTCATAACGAAGATTCTTTTTTGGTTTTTTTTCCCCCAGAGATTTTGATAATTGCTGCTGCATTCAACTTTCATGGTGAAATTTTCGACTGCGATAGAGGGTGGAATGGTCACGTCATGTAGAATTGTCCTCATCCCATGCTGTGTCCGATGAAAGAGGAAAACACAGTGCCCCGGCTAAATGCCGGTGGTGTTGGCTCTCAGCTCTCACAGCGGGCCAGAACAGATCGTGATCTCCTCCAGGCAGGAAAGCTCCACCATCATGCCCCGACCTAAATCATGTCAAGCAATGCATCACTATCGCCTCAAGACAGACAGCTCTGCTTCTCTCTATTCACAATCAACTCCTAGCTCATGCATGACGTTTATGCACCATGTTCCTCGGCTTTCCTGGGTCCGCACACAAACACCCATTAGGAAGCCAGTTGTCAGCAAACCTTATTTTCCCTATATCGCACGGTCTTGCAAAGTCATTTGGATGCTGGGAACTTTCTGCTCCAATATCATGACGGGACGTTCAACATCTCTTCTCTGTCTTGCTGCTGCAACATGGCGAAGAGACATCAATGCGAACCACCAGTATGGAACGTGGCTTACCATTGAACCAAACATGTCAGGTCAGCGGATCGCCCTGGCTGCCAGATAGTATCTGCCGACTCGTCATCCGAGCGCAGGAATCTTTTGGTCCTCCAGATATATGATATATTGCCTCCGCCTCTGTCCATGCGACCACGCGCTATCACTCCAGCTTACGCGGTTCGCATCGTTTGCGAGTCAGCAAACCAGCACAATCCCGAAGAGGAGAACCGGCGGGATAGGATGACCGTTTGCTTAGCTCAGTTCCCCGTTCTGCTGATGGATAGTGAGCAAGAATCTCTTAGAGTTCATTTGACTTATATTACCCTGCAGCTCACCCGAGCGCTTGGACATTTCGCGCTACTCAGCCTGTTGTGGTTCACCAATCCCCCGCATTCTGTCAGAGACAGATGCCGGCGTGAAGCCCAGGTTCTCGTTCACTTTGCTCTCAAAAGGTCCCAGCTGACATTCTAGACACACCGCATTGGCCGAATAGAAAACTGGACATGCCCCAATTTGGGAAACCCGGATCAAGCGACCGTCACCCTAGGGCTTTTCCCACGGCGGCACCAACCTGAGCTTCCGCTTCATGTGGGGGTGTCGCAAGGACCGCATCGCACATTCCGTACTCCCACATCCGGCAACTGTTGGGCGGGTGGTGGATCGCTGATGGCACAGCTCGACTCAAGAGTGATCTCCGTTGGCCAAGGCTGCGCAAGATTGCTGTGCAAGACCACGAGGCAGGCCCGACAACGACTTCACTGCTCATCGGGATCGTCAAGATCCTAGCCCCCACAAACTTCATCTCTTCTCTCAGACGGTCAAAAGGAACCTCTCTTTCAGCGTACCTACATCACTGCAACACCGTTGTTCGCTCCAAATGCGCCGCCATCCCGCATCGCCTACCCCTCTCAACCAGCCAACTGACCTTTCGCAATCAATCGACGCAGTGTTGTCTACCGTGCCGCTCCTTGTCCCACCCAGGCAATATGGACCTGTCACATTGGAACCGGAGCCGATCCCCGCTATGCCCCTTTCGGCACGGAAGAGAACATCATGGCCCTGCCAATGCCTCCAAGGCCAGGAGGCGAACGTGGTTCGCGTGTATGCCATTGACTACCATGTCCCATGGTTTATTGCTCTTCCTTGGCCAGATCGACCAATCGACCAAGGAAGCAGCCAAAGAGCCAAGATGCCCGCCGCGCAGAGTTCCCGAGGATGAAACTCCTCGTAGTCGCCTTAAAACCATCGAGACATCCCGTTCCAGGCCGTCGGTGCTCCTTGCTCATCGGCTGCAACGCTTTTTCTCGCCTTCTTCGACACCAAGATGAGGTTCTTCAGCCGTGTTGGTGCCGGTGCGGCCCTCCTGGCCGCCGTCTCCTGTAGGTCCCGACACGACCCCTGCCAGCCACGACCGGAGCTAACTCGCACACAGTCCTCGAGGGAGTCGCAGGCCAGACCGACTGGACGAGTCCGGATACCGGCATCGTCTACCAGTCGTACACGGGCTCTACTGGCATGACGTACGGTATTGCTCTGCCTACCAACTCACTGACTGTGGACGCCACCGAGTACCTCGGCTACATTGTAAGTGTATCGACTTGGCATCGCCGGCCCAGCATTTCTGACGTGCGCAAAGAACTGCCCGACGCCCGCTGGCGAGGATCAGGGATGGTGCGGTCTCTCACTCATGCCCAGCATGACCAACAGTCTGCTGTTCATGGCACACCCGTACGAGGGCGAGGTCCTGACTTCGTTCCACTTTGCCACTTCGCGCGAGTCGGTTGAGAACTACAAGGGACAAGCCACAATTGTGAGTTCGATGCCCCCTTCCAAATTGCGAATCGCCAGACACCAAGGGTTATCACGTATTGACCAGCGTCCTAGACGCAAATCACATCTCGCGTCACCGCGACTGGCTTCAGCCTCGAATACCGCTGCCAGAACTGCTTCAACTGGGAGCAGGACGGTTTCGTCGGCGGTCATGCCACGACCCAGGGCTTCATCGTCACCTCGTGGGCCCTCTCCAACAAGGCACCCGGCAACGCCGTCTGCCCTTCGGCCCTCGTCATTGAGCAGCACGCGAGCCAGGGCATCAACGGCGGCGCCATCACGCCCGGGTTCACCAACGCCAACTATGCTACCTGGGCGCAGCTCGCCAACAAGGTTGTCACCGGAAACTGTGGCGGCGGCACACCCACCTCTACCGGCGGCGCTGGCCCGACTACAACGTCGGTGCCCGAGACGCCCGTCACGGGTGTTCCAGTTCCCAACACGGCCTACGACTACATCATTGTAGGCTCTGGCGCTGGTGGTATCCCTCTTGCCGACAAGCTCAGCGAGGCCGGCCACAAGGTACTGCTGATTGAGAAGGGTCCTCCCTCTTCGGGACGCTGGGGTGGCAAGCGTGGCCCGACCTGGCTCGCGAACACGAATCTGACCCGATTCGATGTGCCGGGTCTCTGCAACGAGATCTGGCACGACTCGGCTGGCATTGCTTGCCGTGATACTGACCAGATGGCCGGCTGTGTCCTCGGTGGTGGCACTGCCATCAACGCTGCCTTGTGGTGGAAGGTCAGTGCTTGCCGATACTCAAAAAATCGCTCCAGAGAGTTTCACTAACGGATACACATAGCCCTATGCTGCTGACTGGGACTACAACTTCCCCGCCGGATGGAAGGCTAGCGATGTCGCCGCCGCCCAGCAGCGCGTCTTTAACCGCATCCCCGGAACCACAAGGCATCTCGGGACGGCGTCATCTCCCTCCGTGCCGGCATGGACGTGCTCCGCAACGGTCTCGCCGCTGCTGGCTGGAGGGACACGGACTTCAACGCCAACCCGAACTCGAAGAACCGCACCTTTGGATACACGCCCTACATGTATTCGAACGGCGAGCGCGGCGGTCCCATGGCCACGTACCTCGTCACCGCCAATGCGCGCTCAAATTTCAAGCTCATCATGAACACCCAGGTGAGGCGCGTCATCCGCTCGGGCGGTCACGTTACGGGCGTCGAGGTCGAGCCATACCTGGATGGCGGCTTCCAAGGTGTCATTCCCCTGACTGCCGTGACCGGTCGTGTCATTCTATCCGCGGGCACATTTGGCAGCGCCAAGATTCTGCTGCGCAGCGGAATTGGCCCAACTGACCAGCTCGATGTTGTCTCCAACTCGACGCGTGATGGATCGACGATGATCTCTCGCAACCAGTGGATCAACCTGCCTGTCGGCTACAACCTCGAGGACCACACCAACGTGAGTATCGACTATCAAAACACTGCACATTTTGGCACTGACAAGCATATCAGACCAACGTTGTGCTCGAGCACCCCTCCGTCCAGTTCTATGATTTCTACACCGCCTATGACGGCACGGCCCCGTACCAGGCCGATATCCAGAAGTACCTGACCCAGCGCAGTGGCATTCTCGCCCAGTCCGCCCCCAACATCGGACCTCTGTGAGTGCTGCCTGCCATCCTTCTTTTTCTCATCCCATACTAACACGAAGCAGCTTCTTTGAGGAGATTCGTGGCGCCGACAACGTCGTTCGTCAGCTCCAGTGGACCGCCCGCATGGAAGCCAGTGAGGGCGAGGTAGATGGCAGTAAGTCCAGCCATCGCATCTGCAGTTACCGCCGACTAACCAACTAGGTGCCCTGACCATCTCCCAATACCTCGGC